AATGGATGTACTGAAGCTCTATTGAGAAGTTGTGGCTAACGGGATCCATCTTGTCAGACTGCATAGGTGCATATTGATATATGTGTAAAACTTGGGCACTGTGGTAGTATGTAATTCCATATTAGTTTGTTTATTAGATGTATCACACAGTGAGTGAAACAGTATTAGTATTTACTGGATGACGTTTCGAACAAAATTTATTGTACATAATCATGTCATCAATTATAATCACACGACTTCGAAACTTGAGTTTTATTGTTTTCTTTGTCCTCTCCTATTTGTCGTCGTTGGGTTAGTAGAATTTTCCAGATATCTGAGTGGACAGATGTTGAATCATTCCTATTACACGTACTCTCTTCAGTTGTTTCGATAAACAAAGCTTCCGTTGTCATCAATCTCTCCCTCCACCCTGTGACATTAGATTAGATACATAGGTCAAACTAGTAGAACAGGGGCAGTCAGTCTAACTGAACATAAAAACTCAGCAAAATCTAGATTGGTTGATCCAAAGAAGATAAGAAATCTAGAGAATAGTTCAGCTATAGCACTACATGCAGTTACACACAACCATACAATAGGATGGGATAGGATGAGAGTTTTAAAATCTAATGTCACAGGGTGGAGGGAGAGGTTGATAACAGAAGCTTTGTTTATCGAATCAACTACAAATAAAATGGGAATGATTCAACACCTGTCCCCGATATCTGGAAAATTCTACTACCCCAACGACGACAAATAGGAGAGGACAATAAATTTTGTTCGAAACTGTATCATCCAGTAAATAATACTGTTACACTCACTGTATGATACATCTAATAAACAAACTAATATGGAATTGCATGGGTGCACATGGAAAGCATTGGTTGAGGATAGGGCTATATCACAAATCAAAAGAAGTTAGAGTTCAGGCATCATTGAATTCTGACCAAAGTGCTAGATGGTTAACGAGGTTTAATTTCATAAGCGGAAGATCTCTATAATTCAACTTGTAGTGCGGTTATGGATGTGCACTGATGAAGAGTACTGAAACAGGACTAAACACAGCTGTATCAAGTGCTCCCTAGTTTTCAAGGGTCTTTCTAACTGATGTTGCTTCGTGACGAAATCTAAGAATTGAAATAAATCTATATCCCCATAAAAAATCCATAATTTAAATAAAAATCTACCTGTAGTTTTCACCTGACATTATGAGACACGTTGGTATTTCAATCAAGTACATAGGCATATGAATGAACCAGAATTTGGAAACATTCATTAAAATTGTTTTTTCAATCAAGCTGGACACAGGAAAGGCAAATCATGTTCTGACCAAACTGCAACTCAACGCATCATCATCATCGAACAAAACATGGAGTGGCAATCAAACCGCTACCTCAACTTTATACACTTTGAGAAGGCCTTCAACAGCGTTGACCGCGAAGTAATTTGGAAACTACTCGAGTACTACAGCGTACCCCAAATGTTCATCAACCTTATTCAACAGCTGCACGACAACGGCACATGTCAAGTGATCCACAACGGAAAATTCAGTGAGGCGTCTTTTGGAGTAAACACAGGAGTCAAACAACGGTGCTAGCCTATTATCACCAATGATATTCCTAATTGTGGTGGACTGGACTGGATTATGCGTCAGCCAGTGGGAAACGAGAAGACAGGAATATCGTGGGCCGAAATGAAGAACCTAGAAGACCTGGATTTTGCTCGTGGATGATTTATGTTTGATGTCACACTGGTCGAAGAAGCAGCCAGAGAAGACAGGACTGACTCCAGGTGAACATAGACAAGACGGAGGTTATAAAAATAACCAACCAACAACAACAACAACAGCAACATCCAGTGCCAATCACCATCAACAGGAGGGATTTGAAAGAGCTTACTTCATTCACTCACTTATCTAGGGAGCATTGTCTCAACTACAGGCACATGGAACGGACGAGGATGTCAAATCGAGCAAGAATCGGGAAGGAGAGAAACACATTCATCATCAACCTGAAACCAATCTGGAAATCTTCGTCACTCAACCCAGCCAGCATCAACAACAAAGTTCGGATTTTCAATACAAACGTCAAGTCAGTCACTTCTTCTATACGGATGGATCAGAAACTTGGCCAGTGTGTCACAAAGAATATTTCCAACAGCCTGTTGCAGACCTTCATCAACAACTGTCTTCGCTGGCTCCATACTGAAGATCAGATGGCCGCCGGAAAGAACAAGAACCAACAAGAAACAAACTATGGGAAGAAACAAAACAAGAACCAATCGCCCAACAAATATGCAGGAGAAAGTGGAGATGGATTGGACAATCGTTGAGGAGGCCACTGGGTGACACCACGCGTCAGGCCATAGCTCGAGTGGAATCCGGAAGGGAAGCGGCGAGTGGGACGTCCAAGGGTGACATGGAGGAGATCGTGTGAAGAGGAGCTGAAACTGTGTGACTTAACATGGATGCAGGTGAAGCGTACAGCAGAAGACAGAAGCAAGTGGAGACGTGTAATTGAAGCCTTATGTTCCACTAGGAACCCAAGGGAGCAATAATAATAATAATATACATTAAAATGTTTTTCAATAGTCTAGTAACATGCCTTATGCAGTCAGCCATTGCTGCAGCATATATATATATATATACATTTATATATATATACATATATATATATATATATATATATATATATATATATATATATAATCCAACAATCTACCCCTGGTTTTGTCATCTTTACCCATTGGCCAACTTGACAACGCAAAAATGACCCTATGTTGAGGAATGATGATTAAGTTGTGATATATAAGCTGAGATTTTGTAAATTCTGGTTTAATACTACTACTATGATGAAGCTATTAGCATTAAATAGCGAAACGTCAGTAAAAACAATATCGTTTTGTTTATCATTCATTGGGAAATACAAGAAAGCCTTTATTATAAAAACTCTTTTTATCTGAATGCTGGATTCCATGAAGATATTGCATACGAACTAAATACTCAAGAATCAACTTTCTATAGCAGTCTGATGAAAATTCTTCCCTGATGAGCTGTCTATAATCTTCCCCAGTTGATATAATCAAAGAACCAAAACCCAATTTATATATAAACACATGGCATATCCAATTATTGGTTTCTAGGGATTTTGTTTGATTGGTTACAGGATTTTTTTCATGAGCTAACATCACTTAGAGAACCATTGGAAAACCTGGGAATACTGGACAGCTGTTTAGCTCCACTTTTGGGACTCTTCAGCAGTACGCACCCACTGGGGTTCGAATCCAGGAACTTCTGACTACAAGGCGAGCTCGTAGACCATTAAGACACTGGTACCCGATCCAGCAGCCCATGTCTGCCAATTCGTGACATAGTGCGACGACTTCGCAATGTTTTCTTTGATGAGTTACTGCCTCACCTTCAACCTGCTGTACCCTAGTGGGCACGGCTTCCGATAAGAACCATTCTACTGCTTCTCTTCGACTATAGTCTTCTCTTCAATGCACTCATATAGCTTTCATTACTAGTCTTACTACTTATATTTCCACTGGGGATTTCTATTCCCCTTCTTTTTCATCTTGTCTACACACAAAATTTCCCGACTTCTCATCATAAATGTAAATGATGTAATCTCTAATTGTTAAACCACATAGACTCAAGGTGAATTTTTTGATAGGCTGACATCAGACTAAAAAGAACACCACTGAGTATCCCAGAGTGATAGGGAGATCTGTTTCGTCCTGGTTTGGAACTCTTCAAAAAAGTATGCCCCCTCATACTAGCTGACAAAACCTTGAATCTTCAGATTGCCAAACGATTACATTAACATTCAGTCACCGGGGGGGGGGGAATCCAATCGTTTTTAAAAATCTTAACTTCTATATTCGATTCAATTAATATCAAAATGTGACCATTAAAATTATTATGCTAAGCAATAAATTTGCATTCTATGCGTCGTCATCTAACTATTAAAACTGCATCAGTATTTTGTATCAAATAAACTTCTGGTCAAAATTGTACTCTTGTGTAAATTGTAACTTTTGTTAGTTCGTGATATAAGTGTTACTACTATTCAGTATCATCATCGCTAGGTATTGGCCGCCCTTGTGGAGTCTGGAACAATATGATTGTACAGTTTTGTTAGATGTTAAAAATGGAAATATTGTACATAACTTTTGTTTAAAACGAATCATAACTTCGGAGTACAATAGAAGAAGATACAGTGTACTGCTCTACACTTCGTCTTCTCACTGGTCTTTACTGTCTACTTGCTTCATTACTAACCATGTTGGATCCTTTGGGTTTTTTTAGCGAACCTCTTATTCTCATCCAAAGACTATTCTACAACCAATGTACAGCTTCCAATAGTAGTCGCGACTCCAGAAGTGAACACTTCTGTGGATTATATTAATAATTATTAGCAGTGGGCTTCACCTGTGTCACCAAGTAACCGTTAATTTATTTACTCGTTAACTGTATTTTTTGTTATGTACTCGTCGTCAATAAGTTATGGTGATGTCCATATAAACAACCAGAGGGTTTTCCCTCCAAAGATTTTAAATGGCGGGCTCAGATGATGAGTTCAATCGTCGACGAGGTCGTGATAAGTTCCGTCGCGAGCGTAGTGATCACGATGGACGACGTCGTCTACGTGATAAACGGGAGCCTTTCGACGACCTGCCAACAACTGTAGACGATCATCGTGTGAACGAGGTGGTGAACGAGGACGTTCCCCAAATGCAGAGCCACCGTACAAGAAGCCTCGAAAGGAGTCCAACGAGGATTATAGGTCCAGTCCCTATCTACGCAAGGACACAAAGAGCTCTAGTACCGCCGAGTATGACAGTATATACAGGCCCCCAGTAATACTCTTCAAAAGATTCCTGGATCCCCTAGATGATTTGAGAACTGAAGAGGAAGCTTGCAGTAAGTATAAAGAGTACGTGAAGCGTCATATCGAAGAGTTTTTTGAGGCTCACAAGAGTGAAGAGTGGTTACATTTTTTTGTTATCATCCTGACTGTATGGATGAAAGAAAAAATGCCCTCAGTGCAGCAGTTAGACATCGTTTAGAAGTTTTTATGGAGCTTCTGCAAAAAGGCTTTTTCGAAAATCACTCTGTTCAAATGGACAACAGTGGGAATCTCATAAAACTTATGGATGCTGTTGTTATTAAATTAGAAGGTGGATCCGATGAAGATTTAAAAATATTGGATGAGGTAGATCGTGCCAAATACTCTGAGGAAGAGTTACATCGATCATCTCAGACTTCAGGACCAATCTGTTGCGATAATAAAAACAAAGGCAGACATCATTTGACTACATATCATTTTTATGATATGCTGTTACGCTATCATTTCATTAGCTTGGATTTCACTGTTGTCCATTTGAACAGAGTGATTTTCGAAAAAGCCTTTTTGCAGAAGCTCCATAAAAACTTCTGAACGATGTCTAACTGCTGCACTGAGGGCTTTTTTTCTTTCATCCATACAGTCAGGATGATAACGAGAACGTAACCACTCTTCACTCTTGTGAGCCTCAAAATGCTCTTCTATATGACGCTTCATGTAGCCTTCCTTGTACTCTCTTTACTTACTGCAAGCTTCCTCTTCAGTTATCAAATCATCTAGGGGATCCAGGAATCTTTTGGGGGGGGGCAGTACTGGGGGCCTGTATATACTGTCATACTCGGCGGTACTAGAGCTCTTTGTGTCCTAGACACATTGCACTAGTTACTGACTAGTGTTCAGCGAAAACAGTGAGCCATACTTGTTGTATGTCAGGAACTAATAACAGTAGGATTAAGAAAAGAAACAAAGATCGCTAAAACGATAAGTTAGAGTTCTAAGAACGCCTGAAATAACCATTCCTCATTCAAAAATGATTATAGATCAAATTCGCCATCTACACAGTTCGAGGTGATTGCTTCACGACAGTTTTCTGTGGAACCCGAGATTATTCAGGTCACAACAGCATGTGGTCTGCTTGATATCATAAATGATAATCAAAGAACCAAGTGTAAATGCATAAAACTAAACACACTACTGATTGGCTTAAATGAGTAGTTGGATATCATTCATACCAACCAGTAGTGCTTGTTAGCCAGCTAGATGGAAGTGATCTAAATACAAAACGGCTGTTTCACTCGTCCGCCACTGAGCTCATCACTGCTTGACTGGTTTCAAGGTAGAACTTTGCACTGATGTGCAGCAGTTCAAGTTGCCACACTCCCTTCATGTAGCACACAAAGCAAGGGAAGAAGATGAAGAAAGTAAATAGAAACGCAAAATAGAGACAGTAAAAAGAGATATGAGGCAAAAAGAATAGAAATATCGAAGAAAAATATAGTTTTATTGGGTATTATAAGTCACAAGGAGTGGATGCATCTGCGCCAGCCATTTAGAACGAGGATTTTGAGCCATATCACCGATTGTCTCCAGCCACTGGTTCTTACCATCCCAAGGACCCCAGTCAGGAAGCCAGTCTACACCTTCCTACGTCTGTAGCTTAAACTTACTGTTGTGGACTTCATTGATCGATGAAGCCATGTTTTCGTTTGACCAACACGCGCTAGCTCTTTTCCAAACTGATCCATCCCATCCATGTCAGCTAACACTCCCCAAAGACGAAGGCAGTGGCTAGGCGTGCATGCTTGCATGCAAGTACCTTGGACTGAGTATTTCCTCCGATCTTTCCTGGTCCTCTCACATCTTGCTAGTGACTAGAAAGATGTTTCGCCTAACGTTCTACTTTAGGAAGTTTAGGCAGTCTGGTATAAAGCAGTCTTTGCTTTCTCAGTTTGTCAACTCTTGTATTCTACCCATCCCTCTTTACTGCTCCCCATTAATCTTTCCTGGACTACTTAAGAAAGACTTTGCTTCGCTGCATAGGGCACTAAAAGCTGTTAGTAGGGGAAGTGGGATTTCGTTAAACCAACTGGTTAACACCATTGTGGATAGACAGATAATGTCATGTAAGAAACTAGCGAATTCTATATTGTCAGATCCCGAACACCCTCTCCATACGCAGCTCTCTCCTTGCATTTCATCTGGTAGAACTAGAAGCAACTATAGGAAGCTATATGCCAGGACTACCAAGTATAAAAACTCCACAGTACCTTACCTGGCACAGCTGTTATGTGATGAGAAAACTGTTAGGCATGACACGATCAACTTACTGCGGTACTCTAACAAATAGTTCCCATTAGCTTTTGTTCTCCTTTCTTTGTTACTATTATATTGTTGCTCATATATTCTATTACAGACTAATTTTATGTATCATATCCTGTGGTGCATTGTTTAAATATGTGAATGCAATGCTGTTCTTTTTTATTTCTTTTGTTTCTCTTTTTTCTTTTTGTTGTTGTTGCTTTATATTTTTAAATCCTTATAAAATTTATGAGGTAATTAGATGCAATATTGTAATGAACGCTGAAAATTCCATACCTGTACCATAAATACTGTTTGGAATAAAGCTATTATTATTATTATTATTATTATTATTATTATTATTATTATTATTATTATTATTATATCCTAACCATCTCAATCGGTGTAACTTCACAACCTAGTCTATTGATTTCCTCTCCTTACCCAGCACTCGACCTATGCCTAACCTGAATATTGCTCACCCTATTATACCACTTAACACGCGAGATAGAACGCAGACACCTATGGTCAAAGAGCTGAGCCCATCAAAATTACAAACTAATTTGCAAATAAAAGAAAAGAAGGCGTTCAGCAAAGAGACTCTTTTCGGCGAATTCATTCACTTAGCTGTACAATCGCATATTTATACAATTTTGTTTGTGTGTGTGTGTGTACATTAGATTTATATTACATAATTATCTAAACTTTATAAATCTAATGTACACACACAAACAAAATTGTATAAATATGCGATTGTACAGCTCAGTGAATGAATTCGCTGAAAAGAGTCTCTTCGCTGAACGCCTTCTTTTCTTTTATATGACTGAATGGGGATTTTCAAGTTACTTAAATGTAATTTCCAAATCGCGACTATGATTTGTGGTATCACCAGGTTGCCCAAGTAGGTAGCCAGAAATTGAATGATTTGAACTGATTCGGCTCTCTGAGCTGGGTTCAACAGGACACACTGATGATGAGCTTGGTCCCAAACCAGAGAAAATAGCCGTCCGGCGTTTGGATCACTTCTATCTGGCTGTCTAGCAAGCACTACTCACTGATGTGAATGGTACCCGACTACTCATTCTAATCAGTCAGTAGTATATAGTTTTATCGAAATGTTCGATAATGTGATAATTTTATGAGTACTTTCCAATGGAAGGAGAAGCATTTCAGATTTTTATTATTATATCCAACTCAGAAAAACAGCAATTCAACAAAAGCATTTTGACTGTTTCAAACGAATAGACTAATGTCGCCAATTGACGCCAATTAGGATACATGGACCAGTGAACTACAATGCAGTTATGGAACTAGAACTTCATTGCTTTTCAACCTGAATGTCCTGAGTTCCATTCCAGATAAAGAGTCACAAAAACAAATATGAATCTGTCGACCAGTGTTAATTTATTCTTAATGACTGTATAACCATTGTGTACGTCGGTGGCATAGCGGTTAGGACACTCGCCGACCATGCACATGGTCCGGGGTTCAATCCCCGGCCACCGACGCACTCCTTTACCTCACTAAGTCAGAAATAAAAGCTGGTAAAAAGGAAAGGTTGGGCATGTGGCTAGCAACCTCATCCTGTAAAAATAAACACTGCTACAGAAACTTCAAGCCACTAGCTTAAAACCCTATGTTCCACTGGGAACGTCAAGGAATAAAAAATAAAAAAACAACCATTGGCGCTTTTCAACTAAATATGCACTGAAATTAATCGAATTCCTACGAAATCAATATCTGAACACAATTCATTCTTCATAATCATATTCGGTGTAACATCCAGCGTCAATCATCATCAACGGGAGGGATTTGAAAGAGGTTACTTCATTCACTCACTCACTTATCTAGGGAGCATTGTCTCAACTACAGGCAGGTGGAACGGACGAGGATGTCAAATCGAGAATCGGGAAGGTGAGAAACACATTCATCAACCTGAAACCAATCTGGAAATCTTCCGCTGTCACTCAACTCAGCATCAACAACAAAATTCGGATTTTCAATACAAACGTCATGTCAGTCAGTTCTTCTATACGGATAGATCAGAAACTTGGCGGGTCACCAAGAATATTTTCAACAGGTTGCAGACCCTTATCAACAACTGCCTCCGTTCTATACTGAAGATTAGATGGCCGGAAAGAATCACAAACAAGAAGCTATGGGAACAAAGAAATCAGGAACCAATCGCCCAACAAATATGCAGGAGAAAGTGGAGATGGATTGGACACTCACTGGCTGAGGAGGCCACTCGCTGGGTGACATCACGCATCAGGCCATATTTCGAGTGGAACCCGAAAGGGAAGTGGCGAGTGGGACGTCATTGCAAGGGTGATATGGAGCAGATCGTGTGATGAGGAAATGAAACAGTATGGATTAACATGGATGCAAGTGAAAAGTACTGCACAAAACAGAAGCAAGTGGAGACGTGTAGTTGAAACCCTATGTGTTCCACTAGGAACCCAAGGGAACAATAATAATAATATAATTCTTGCGGTTCGTTTGTTTAAATATTCGGAACAAATGTTAGGTCATAGTCTCAGTTGATTTGATAAACCAGGCTTCCGTTATCTATCTCTCCCTTCATCGTGTTGTGTCAGGATCTAATATCCTCACTTTCTGTGCGTGTGTGTGTCATTAATAATTCTTATTTTAAGATTTAAGTTTTGTAATGTGAACAATCATCACCAATAGTAACAAGAACTACCCTGAAATCAATCGTTTCAACGTAAACCTGCAAATTCGGCAAAAATTAAAACATTTTTCAAGAATTGGTTTGTTTTTCAAGTTTCACTACGGATTGATATCAGTTAGAGAACCACACTATTGGAAACAAGGGAGTACTACTGGACAGCCAGATGTTTCGTCAGCATAGTTTCAGACTCATCGGCAGGAGCACCCAACTGGTTTTGAACCCAGGACCTTCCAGTCACAAGGCAAGCTCGTAGACCATTCAGCCACTAGGACCCAACTCAATGACCAGCCCATGAATCCAATGGCGGCTGGAGACAATCGGTGATATGGCTCAAAATCCTCGTTCTAAATGGCTGGCCCAGATGCATCCACTCCTTGTGACTTATAATACTCAAAAGAACTATATTGTTCTTCGATATTTCTATTCTTTTCGCCTCATATCTCTGTTTACTGTCTCTATTTTGCGCTTCTTTTTACTTCCTTCTTCTTCTTCTTTGACTTTGTGTGCTGAGTGAAGTTTGGCGACTTGAACTGCTGCACATCAGTGCAAAGTTCTATGATGAAACCAGCCAGCCAGCTCACTTGACATTTTAAATGACGATCCA